CGTCCACATCACGAGTGAGTAGTGCCGGATTCGCCAAAAGCTTTTGTTGAAAGACGGAGCAAGGGGCGTGGCAGCACTGAAACACCGTCTAAGCTGTTCGCCAATCACAACGCACTGGGACAGCTAACCAATCGCATCACATTTCGTTTTTCGGAAGGTGGACCTTCATCAAACCCGGAACTAATCGAGCCGTTTGTACCAGACTGGGGAGAAAGGTATTGTAATAATGTAAATTATGTAAAAAATAATGCGTTTTTCGAACCACCAAGCATGAGAGCATGTTCTAGTACACCCCCAAAACAAATTCAAGACATTGTAAAAGAGCATAATAGGACCCCTTTAACCTAGAAAAATGTGCGCTAATTGTCTGTGCGGAGAGTGTAAACTGAACAGTAGCGCTCACTGCAGGACAGACGGAGGCGCCGGTGTTGTGCCAAATTCTGCACCCCAGCCAGATTATGCAGGAAAAGGGAAGCACCTCTGGTCTGAAAGACGTTGGTGGACATATGAGGCTGGAAGGATGGCTGAAGCAGCCCAGGTGAGCCGTGTGCCATGAGCATGAACACCATCAGAAGAGAAGCAAGCACTAAGTGTACATGGAATTGTGGTTGTCCTCCTGCAGAAATGGAAAGCGTGGTCAGGGCTGGGAGAGGAAGTACGTGGTGCTGGATGGATGTAAAGTGATCACCTACGAGACAGAACCAAGAGACGGTCTGTGAATGTTTTTACTTTTCCCAATCTAACTACTGGGGTGCTTCAGGGCTCAGTTCTTGGACTTTTCTGTTTGCACACAGCATATTATTACAGAGCAACTGTTCATCTCTGCTGGAAAATCTTTATTCATACTAGCTTAACCTGGTCAAGCTGGTCTTTGGATAGTGGTAGCTTGTTTTGACTAAATCTAGGTGGTTACCAGCTTTAACCATCTTGACCAGGCTGGTCTACCAAATCAAGTTGGTAGCTCCTCCTGATCAACAATCTAGACATCTTAAACCAGCTTAAGGAGGTCTGATGGTCTCCAAACCAGAGCAGCTAACAAAACCCCTCTAAAACCATCAGTCCAAACCAGCCTAACCATCGGAAACCAGGTTGATGGCCAGAGATGATGCCGTCATGATTGATCCGACCACACTTCTAACATTCTAACACTAACTTCTAACATTTTTTTCTAATTTATGTAAACTTGCATATTTTATATCTAATTTGTTTTTTGTTGTTGTTAAATTTATTTTATTCTGTGTACCAAGATTAAGATTTGAAATTGATAACACCATCTTAGGTTGAATTTAAAGCTGGGACTGGACATAAATGACCAACATGGACAAGCTAGAAACCATTTTACACTAGTCGCTGCCTTAATCAGTCTAGTTTTATCTGTTTTCCAGCAGGGATAGACAGGTATAGAATGATGTGCCTTGATGTGAATGATGTATAATCTGTCCTCTCAGAGTCGGTGAAGCCGCTGGATGAGTTTGAGTTGTGTCTCTCTGATGGAGATGTGACTGTTCATTCTGCTGTCGGTGCTACTGAGATGCCCAACACGGCCAAGACAGGTGATGTGTTACCTGTGGAATTGCACTGTACTGTGTCCTTACTAACTTTTTTGCTCTGCTGAGTGTGGATTCAGAAAGTAATCCATGTCCAGTATATGTAACATGTTTTTCTGTCTTCTAACATAATTGTGTGTGTTCAGATGTGCCGTATGTGGTGAAGTTGGAGTCGTCTCCGCAGTCGACATGCTGGCCCGGTCAGACTCTGTACCTCATGACCTCGGGGTTTTCTGAGAAACAGCGCTGGGTGGCCGTGCTGGAAGCCATTGTGGCCAGCAGTCGTGGGGCGAGAGAGAAAGCCGAAGCAGACGCTGTGAGTGAGAGGAACCTGAAACACCCACAGGCCGTTCATAGTGACATTTAAAGAGTCAGTGCAGTGACATGCAAGGCAGAAACTGTAGGTTTGTCTCTTCTTACCAGTACAGCGGGATGCAGGGAAACATACTGATAACAGGGATGCAAACTCACCATGGGTGAAAAAGTTGACAAAGATGCGCAATCCAAAATTTTTTTTTAAATTAAACACTTATAATATTTAAAACATTTATTATTTTTTAACTCTACAGTTGTGCAGTAAATTCGCTTTGAAGATTCACTTTTCATTCATGAAGATGACATGAAAATATCCTGGTGGAAAACAAAGACTTAAGATGAAAATTACTTTTATAAAATTATTATTATAACCAGCAGAGGATCACTCATTAGCTCAGTTGCCATTTCCACTCCCTAGTTTTTTTCACGTCTTGCGTTTGGAGTTATTATAAAATGACTATTATAACAATTTTTTGTACTTTTACTATACTGAAGTATGAAGTATAGCAAGTACAATTAAATAATAATGCATTAAATATTTTGAAGTATTTTTAGATTTAATTTAAAAGCTACATTTTTTAAAAACATTGCCTTAAAAAGGACACATCAATAAGAGTGTTTAATGTTTTAACTTTAACCGTAGAAACTGCTAAATAAATTCAGCCAACACAGACTTGTTGCTGCTGTAGTTTTGTTACTCTGAATTTACTCTGCATCCCTTAAAGCACAGCTCTGTTTTGACATCGGCTTGTCAGATGTTTCGTTCCGTCTATTGCTACAGTTATCACCATCAATCAAAGCAATGACTTGCGCAACAATTTAGCGACTCGCAAATTTTTTTTTCACTCCCGTTTGTCATTCCTGAAACACTATACGTGGACATTTGGTCCTCTTAGACAAACAAAACTTTTCTTCAAATTGTGAATGAAGTACTGTATGTAGAGAAGCCGAGCAAAGGGCACTTTCCTTTATGGTGCAACTGACTGAGATTACTCACGCAAAAACTTCTGATTTAATCAATGATATAATCAACTAACTACACAATCAATCTCTTATTTACTTTATTTCTTGTTATAATAGGTAGATTTTCGAGCATGTAGAACTCTGTAAACTACAGAGTTTACACCTACCTACAGTTTACCTACAGTAAACACCTCTGATTGAAAATATCCTGGTGGAAAACAAAGACTTAAGATGAAAATTACTTTTATAAAATTATTATTATAACCAGCAGAGGATCACTCATTAGCTCAGTTGCAATTTCCACTCCCTAGTTTTTTTCACGTCTTGCTTTTGGATTTATTACAAAATGACTGAAGTATAGCAAGTGCAGGAAGTCACAAAATCCACAGTCTCGTGTCATTTAAAAAAAATTGCCTACAAGCCTAGAAGGGTTAATTATTTGAATATTTAACAAGTCAACAAAAAAATAAGTTAACTTTTAATGGTATAATCATTAAATAATAATGCATTAAATACTCTTTTTTTTTAGATTTTAAAAACTACAATTTTCAAATATTGCCTCATCAAGGACTCATCAAAAAGAGTGCTTTAGGTTTTATATTTAACTGTAGGGGCTGCTAAATATATTCAGCCAGCAGACTTGTCGCTGCTGTAGGTTTGTTACTCTGAATTTACTTTGCATCACTTAATGCACAGCTCTATTTTGACATCGGCTTGTCGGATAGTTCATTCCGTCCATTGCTACAATTTATCACTGTCAAAAGTGTCAATCATAGCAATGACTCGCGGAACAGTTCAGCTGAATCACTCGCGTAATCTTTTACACTCGCGTTTGTCATTCCTGAAACAGTATACGTGGACAAATGAAACTTTTCTTCAAATTTTAAATGGATTATGTGAGAAACTGTTATTCTTGTTATAATGGGAAGATCTGTGAGTGCTTAGAAGTCCGTAAACGTGTGAAAACAATTAGTTCAGAGCGGATTCTGACTAACCTACAGTAAACACCTCTGATTGGCCATTGCTTTCAACAGAGATGCCTTTGATTGGCTACAAAACTAAACGCTGCAAAACACGTTGGAAATAGAAACTTGGTTTTGTAATTCGAAACCAGAGCGCGTGCACAAAAACACAGGAACGTTTGAAAGCGGGTACACGAATCACACAAAAGGCCCATTTTGAATTCAAAACGGCAAATTTCACCGAAAGGTGACAAGTTTGTATCCCTGGTACCGAAACTTGCCAACCAAATTCTGCACCCCTGCCAGATTATGCACCCCCTAGTTGAAGTCGCTACCTGATTGACTAATCCCAACCCCACCCCTAATCCTAGCCCCTTCCCCACACCTACTCCTAAACCTACCAATACTAGGGTGTGCATAATCTGGCAGGGTGCAAATTTCAGCACTACACCGGTACGCTCACTTACTCCTAAAATACTCTTACAGATAAGAGTAATAGCTACATCTTTCGAATCTTTAAAGACTCTACGTTTATTTTTGTGTGAATATGTTATGCGGTCTCTGTGAACTTGAGCGCGAAACTCCGTGTATATCTTTGCAATTTAGACATACAGTGGTGTGAAAAAGTGTTGGCCCCCTTCCTGTTTTTTTTATTTTTTGCATATTTGTCACACTTAAAAGATTCAGATCATCAAACAAATTTTAATATTACACAAAGATA